TTAGAAGTTAGCCCTCCGCTGTAGGAAACACACTATTTTGAATTGTAATGGAGTAAAAGGAAGGAATTAAGAATGTGGATGTGGACACTTTTTGTTATTGGTGGAGGGACATTAAGGAGTCTCTTTTTCTTGTATGGAGCCCTGGTGATGCTGTATTAGGTGTTGGGCTTCTAGCCTCAAGGTTGGTAGATCAAACTCAGCAGTCACTCTTTGGTATAAAGATGAGACTGTCTACTCCATTAAAGGTTTACAGCCTCAGTTGGGGAGGAACAGCTCAGAAAAAGAATGGTTGCACACCTCTAAGCATGTGATCAGTATCACATAATTGTACATGCAGAAACTATGATGTGCTGTTTATTCTCAATTTTTTTGAATGAGGCCTAAGATTGCGTTAGATGCGTTATTCATGTTGACATTTTAGTCCCCAGGGATGCTGGCCATTGCACTGCTAACCACAAGGTCAGTTGTATAGCCAAACCCACCAGCCTCGATGTGGAAGAAATATGAGGCTATCTGTTCCCATATTTACAGTCTCAGAAAACTTCCATCGGGTGGCTATGAGCTGTAATCGACTCCAGGGCAGTGGGTTTGGTTTGTGGGTTTATGATAAGGGTAGCCCTTTACCCGAAGCAGACCCTGAACTGGGTGTGAACATCTTTAGTGAATAAGGGGGGATAGCTAGAAGATTAGTAGATGATTGTGAGAAGCAATGATTGAGAGTGCTAATAATTAATATGAGCCCCAAAGAGGAAAGGCTTTGTATATACATGGCTGGAACTGGCAACGAGGAGAATTGTGGACGGCCATGTATTTTCACCTTTGAGGGATGAAAGCTGTGGGAGAATCAGCGGCCTCTGTTTGAGAGGCATCGTCAAAGTCTTATTGCGACCATTGTGCTAGGGCACTCACATTCAACTGAGGTGGACTAGATGCGTGGAGGTTCTCAAAGCGAGTCAGCTGCATCATCATCACCTAGGAGGTTGCTAGAAATGTCAGTTCTCTAGCTGCACCCAGATGGGTTGTATCAGAAAACCAGGAAGTGAAGCCCCAAATGCAGATCTTCAGCCGATGCCAATGGATGTGGAAGCTGGAATCGCCTCGGCATCTGGGGGATCTTGTTAAACTCTACGTTCTATTTCAGTTTATCGGAAGTGGACATCTACATCATTAGCAGGGAGCCCAGTGAAACGAACCAATTTAAGGCTCTACAATGAACGAACAATGAAAATAAAAATCATGAGAAAGAAGATTTTTTTTTCTCTTTTAATCATTTTATTAGGGGCTCATACAACTCTAAAAAATTTTTTTTAATTGGCGCTCTTGCTAGATTTTAAAAAAATCATTTTATCAGGGGCTCATACAACTCATCACAATCCATGCATACATCAGTAGTGTAAAGCGCATTTGTACATTCATTGCCCTCATCATTCTCAAAACACTTCCTCTCCACTTAAGCCCCCCGGCATTAGGTCCTCATTTTTCCCCTCCCTCCCCCCTCCCTCATGAGCCCTTGATAATTTATAAATTATTTTGTCATATCTTGCCCTGTCCGTCGTCTCCCTTCACCCACTTTTCTGTTGTCCATCCCCCAGGGAGGTCACATGAAGATCCTTGTAATCGGTTCCCTCTTTCCAACCCACTCTCCCTCTACCTTCCCAGTATCGCCACTCACACCACTGGTCCTGAAGGGATCATCCACCCTGGATCCCCTGTATTTCTAGTTCCTATCTGTACCAGTGTACATCCTCTGGTCTAGCCAGACTTGCAAGGTAGAATTCGTATCATGATAGTGGGGGCGGGGAGGAAGCATTTAGGAACTAGAGGAAAGTTGTATTTTTCATCGTTGCTACATCGCACCCTGTCTGGCTCGTCTCCTCCCCGAGACCCGTCTGCAAGGGGATCTCCAGTGGCCTACTAAGGGGCTTTGGGTCTCCAGTCTGCACTCCCCCCATCATTCACTATGGTAAGATTTTTTGTTCTGATGATGCCTGATCCCTGATCCCTTGGACACCTTGCGATCGCATAGGCTGGTGTGCTTTTGAAGGGAAAAAGGTTGGTGTTTAAATAAGATGACAACACATAGTTCTCAGCGTAACTGGCCTGCTGAATCACCCAGTCCTGATGTGCTTCCTTGCTTGCTCCTTTTCTCTGTAATCGACAGTCTCTTGTTTCAATGTTTACTTCCTCCTGCCCCCTTACTTCACACAACACTTGGACTTGGAGAATGTTGTCCAATCTTCCTTGTTTGAAGCCTACATGACCTGCGAAAAACTGGCTGCCATTATGAGCTACTTTTTTCACTATGCTTATTGGTAAAATTGCTAAGTCCTTGTAGTTGTTGCAGATTTTGCTATGCATGTATCCATATAACAATATTAAGTTGGGCTTTATGCATCGTCAAGCGAACATACACAGTTAATAATTTGGTGTTTTATCAGTGACAAGTACATACGAGAAAGCACTGGAGAGAAAAGAATCATCTTTGTAGGAAGAGGTGCTTAATAAAAAGATAACAATGTTGAATTTGGAAACTTCTTCAGTTAGTTGATGGGAAGAGAGAGGAAACTTTTTCAGGTCAATGGATCCATCCAAAGGGATGGATCTTCATTGGGAAAAGCCAAGGGTAGCTGACCAGCAAGATATACTCAGTCAGGCAGAGTAGAGTCGCCATGAGCTTGTCCCCTGCATCAAAGGATCTGCGTGATGTTGGGGAACTCTTGGAGAATTTTGGGCAGAGGAATAGCATGCTTAAATTTCTCTTGAGAATTTATTTTCATGCAGTTGGGGTTGGTACAGGTATTTGGAACACTATAAAGACCTGCTATTTTATTTATTGTAGAGGTGTTCTAAAATGCAATGCCCTTTATTAGAAATGTAACATGTATTCCATTGGTCAATTCTACTTCAGTCTCTTTAATGTGTTAAAGAGAAACAACACCACTGCGAGGACTACAGAGCGCCTGGCTTAAGCCTTAGCCTTTTCAGTAGCCAACATGCTTGTGAAACTGAGTAGTGAATAGGAGAGACTCATGCATTTTTTAAGAGATTGAAGAATTTGTGCCTTTGAATTATGGCGTTGGGTAAGAACTCTGAATAGAAAACGACTGCTAGAAGAGTTGCAGAAATGTGTTGGGACGGGAGCGCTGTGATGCTCCTCAGAGCTCGGACAGTGAGATGTACTTTGACCATGTTGTCAGGAAGCCAGACACCATGCTTGAGATGGTGAGCAAAAAGAGGGGGTTCCCATGAAAGGGATGGACGTAACAGCTGCAATAATAGGCTCAAACACAGGGAATGTGAGGATGGTGCAAGACCAGTCAGCGTTTCTTCCCTTCTGCTGCACAGGACTGCTTTGATTGGAAGGCACCTTTTCATCAACGTGTTCGTTCTCTGGTTTTAAACTTCATTTATATATGGTGTTCTTTATTCTTATATTTTAAATTTTCTGTAAATTTTTTTTAACATGCCTGAAATCCTAAGGGAAATGTAATGGGGAAATATATTCATATAAAAGACAGCCAGAGTTGCTTTCTTTGACTCCTAACTCTCACAACAGGAAGTGAATGGGAGGGATGGTGGTCATCAGAGGCAAGGAAATCAGGTAGAAATTCCCAGAGAGAAAGCAGGAGAGCTTAAGCTAAGACAATGGAGGTGTGATGGAAATGACCTGACAGCTCTTCAGAAGGCAAAACTGAAGGGACTTAGCAATGGTTATTTGGTGTGTGTGTGTATGTGAGGAGAGGTGAGCAATGTCCAAGATGAACCAGAGCATTTTATAGGTTAGAAGGCGTGAAGGTATACATGTTGCTCCACTTCTCAGCTATCTCTATGCACATGCCTCTAAGAGTTGGTCTGAAAATCATTTTGAGGAATGAACAAGCTTTGCTAGTGTGACAGTGTGTGGCAGAGAAGAGCAAATGCAGAAGAAAGGGTGGAGGGCCAGAGCCCCGAGGCTCATCATGCGATGACTGGGGAGAGGAGGTAGAACTGAAAGGAAACCGAGGGGAAAGTGGGATGTGGGGGCAAATGAGACAGGACTACCACCTTCCATGGTTCAGGCAAGGCCCATGAGAAGATGCTGAGGCTCAACCATGGGAGCTGATGAAGCAGTGGCAGGCTTGATTCCCCGCCTAAGCAAAGATAGACACTTTGCCTCCTAGTCCTTAGCAAAGCCGCTGAAATGCAGCCATCTACAAATCATCAGTTACTCCTGGTTCCCCACTTTATCCTCCCCTCCTGTCCGTGACCAGCGTGGCTGATGTATTGTTTCTTTGTACGCCCTCAAGTAATTGTCCATTGTCCCTTTGTCTTGAGACCAGTCATGAGATGCAGGCCGCGTGACAGGGAGTGTGTATCAACCTGTCTTGAATAAAGCTCCAGACACTGCAGCATCTCTGCTGCAGGCTCCCCTGTGCCTCAACTGCATCTCCCCTTTTATGTGTAAGTTTGCTCTTTGCAGATTGTGCCCTCTCAAACCCATTCGATTCTTAAGAGAGCTACACTCGCTAATCTTACGGAGGGAGACCACAAGAGCAAAGAGATATGAGAGACAAGTGTTTAAGAGGGGGCAGCGATCAGCTGCATCTAATAGTGGTGGTAAGGGCAAGACCCACGAGGGCTGAGCAGGGTCCTGTCTCATTACAGATGAAAATCCCTGGACCTCACTGGGGGTATTCAGTCATTCATCAGTCAATGAACATTCAATACATATTACGTGAGCACATGGACCACATTCTGGTCTATGGGATGACTGATTTGATGAGGGAAAGTTAGGGTCACTTGAATATACAGTACTTAGTTCATCATGATGGGGAATTCTGGAAGAAAACCGAGTTTGAAGAGGAAGCTTAGTTTGGAAGCATTACTACTTAAAAAACAGCATATCGTAGAAAAGTGCTGCGGCTAGGTGTGCACTAAGTTGAATGCTGAGGTGATTCCATTCCAGAAGAACAGTATAAACTTCTTGATAGACTGTTGAAATCAGAGAAACAGGCCAAGACTTTCATGACCATCGATAAAGCTTTATAACAATACAATTCATTATCATTGTTTGGATTAATACTGTAGTAATTACACACTTTTTACATTATGAAAATAAGTCATAAATAGTGTAAAAATAATTCTGAAGATCAACTTCTCACAAACTAGGAACCCTGAAAACAAGTTTAAAAAAATCAAAGACAGAAGCTGAAACAGGGCAATTATCTCCAAACTCCAAATCAAAAACCAAACGGGTCTTTTGATCAACATTGCCAGCTGGAGAAATTACAATGAAATTGAAACAAGAAATCAAACAGGGAGAATTCAATATTTCAGTTACTTACACTATTGGAAAAACCAGGTTTGTGTCATATTTACAGCGAATAAGACACAACATATTCTTAGGATAACCAATTACAAATAAGACTGGCATAAAAAACATTAAAAAAAAGCAGTGCATGTTTGCCAAAATATTTTTTTGGTACTTTTCTCTTGTATGTATGTGATCTTTTCTGAAATATAAAAATAGCTGCACATAGAGATGAATCTTAAAATGTAAGAAATACAAATAAAAATATATTTTCTAAAAGAAAATCAGATACATACATCTTAAAGTAAATCAGATACATACATCCTTAAAAAATGTCATTATGTTGCATGGAACATTTACAACAATATAAAGAATATTCACATAAATGTCAACAATATGTAAGACATTCTTTTGTGAATCCAATGAACATTTCTAAGATGAGAGAATATCATTACATTTTGAAAAAATGGTATTAGTTATCAATGATGAGTTTACTCCCCAAATGACAGGTCCTTCAATGAGCAGCATAGGCGATTTTATGCATTTAAAAAAAAGAAATCAGAAATTACATTAAAATTTTAAATCAACATTTGATTACCTAAAAATTGACTGAAAATTTAATTCAGAGGGGTGTCATTGCTCTGGCATATGAGATATGAGAGGCAATATGAAGATATTTTCACAAAAGGGATGAAAAGAAGTGGCTGAAGGTCCTTATGTTCAAAAATAACTCAGCAGAAGTATAATTGATCAGGTACGTTCATGCCACTAAAGATGTGTGCTTGTAACACCAGAATCTCAAGAAGTTGCTCTTATTTTGAGATGATAACTACGTTCGTATGGACTTGATTTCCTAGAGACAGCAGAGTTTTTGTTTGTTTATTTTTTGGGGGGGATAGAAGTCAAGTCTATTTTTGGCAATGCCAACTATAAAAATATTAATTTGATTAAGAAAAGGGAAAGCAATGGTTTCAAAATCAAAAGTTCCTTATAGATCTCTTTTTCCCCTATGACCTCTTATTTTAAGGTGCTGTGACACCAAATGCAAGTATTTCCAGTTCAGTGTAACATGATATATAGGGGCACAAAAGGATAAAAAAATGCTAAATTTTATGTTATAGTAATAATATAATTTTTTTCTAATTAAAAAAAGTGATACCTAAAACAAATTTTCCAAAGGGTTAGAAATGCTGATTTGACCATTATCTAAACTAGCAAGTATATATACATATTGTTGACAAAGGATATTATGGACTACATGATACATACATTTTTGCTGTCCCATTAGGACACCATGCACAGGCAGTAAGTTCAAGAACAAACAACATTTTTGTAGAAATGAAAGTGATTCTCATTTTTTCCCCTACAAAATAAAGTGAGCCAGAAAAAAATCCTCAAAGACTATTTTTTATAATAAAAAATGAAAACTAGAAGAAAAATCAAGGCATCTTCATGCAGCGGGAACTCAGTGCAGGGCGTGCAGACATGTCTAAAGCTGATTTCTGTCCTTAATCAAAGTAGCTAAGCTGAAAGACAAGACTGAAAGTTGATAATGGCAGATGTGAACTGTACATGTAATAAGGGACCCATAATCCCAGGAAGAACTTATCAGCAACTCTTTAGATCTGTTTTACATTAAGAAAAACTGGTCACTAAAAATTACAGCAAATTCTTCAACTTCCAGGAGAAAGACTAGTCATTAAAAATTACAGCAAATTCTTCAATTTCCAAAATAAAAATCACATGCTAAAAGTTAGGAATGCGATTAAACAGAGAAATGAAATTGTCCGCAAGTAGTAGCTTTGTCCATTCAGAAAAGAAGGAAGGAAAGACATTAGCACCAACATGAAGAGAAAACGACTTAAAGATAAAATACAAATTTGGCATCCTCATAGTACAATTTTTCAGAAATAGTACTTGACTTTGACTTATCACCAACGTGCCTTTCATGTATTTATTTTTCTAAACCCCCAGTCCAGTAATATAAATTAAAAAAAATATTTTTTTAAGAAAAACATCTATCATCCAACATATATAACTCCAAGTGTAATTCATTAGTTTACTGGGAAATTGAGGATTATCATCCTTGATGTCAAAATGGACATGTGTCAATTCATTAGTGACCCAAACTTGAAGATTACCAATGGTAAGACCTAGCAAATCCACTGAACAAAGAGGAGCCCCATCATCTTTGTTTTTCCCAAGGAAATAAATGTAATGAACATTTACACTGTCTTTTAACCATAGAATAAACACCAATCTTTGTCAAGCCAGTAATTGAGCAAAAAACCTGACATACACATATCAGAAGAGTTTATGTCCCAGGGCTATGTTAGAAAAAAATATATATATGTTCTTAGTGAAATATTTCTCTTTTGATGTTGAGGTATTCTTTTTTTTTCTGTTTGAGGCCATGCAGGTTTTACTTAGTGATCCATCCCAATCCCTCCTCTACTAGAAAAGTAGAAAGGCAGTTGGGAAGGAGACATACAGCTACCAGATTTTTTCTCAAGACATCATGGTTTGTTTTCTTGAAGAGACTGTAGTCCCACTTGCTTTAGTTCATCTTTTCCAAACCATCTTAAGACAAATTTTTCAAACATTGAATCTCAACTAGGTCATACAAGAGTTTGCTAGAAAACACTCTGTCATATTTGAAATGCTAAATTGGCTTGGAATGTGGAATGTTCCTGGAAATATGGCCAATTAGACTGATTTAATAGTTTGAACACCTTCCCAATCTTGTAAACATAATTGGAAGAAGAAAGAAGCCATTTTGCATCGTTGAGCTTTTAGTTACATAATATGAGATTATATAGATTTTAGGATCCTTGTCCTTCGATCATGTCTTCACTGTTGTTATTACAATCAAAGGTGAGTCAATTTTTTGTTTTGTTGGTGAAAACCTATGCATGACAACAGAAATATTCCCATAAAATGGCATTACACCAGCAGAAAAAGAAAGGTATCCTGGAATCTCAAAGCGGGAATTCCAAAAATCCAAAATCAAACTCATTGACTTCAAGTCGATATCAACCGTGTGGCTCTGAAGGTGACCCTTCCACTTAGGGTAATTCAAAACACACTACCCCCTTTCAATAAGCAAGATGCTCAGCCTCATCTGGTTAGGTAGATTTTCAGCAAGTAGGTGAAAAACAAAACTCTTTTTGGCAACTTTATTTCACAGCTTTCTGAGATCTCAGATTTGGTCTGTGCGTAAGAGGATAAAATGAATATTTAGAAATGTAATTTAAAGAAGCTAAAGAAATCTAAATGTAGACTAATGTAGCTGTAAGTAGAACAAGGTACAGAAATGAGCGTGTGTTATTAAAAGTAACCACACTTTGACTCTATGGTAACTGCTAAGCATTATGTCCGTGCATATTTGTTGTGTACCAAAAAGTACTGAGGGGAAAACAAACCTTAACACCGCTGTTTGTAACGAATGAACAGAAAATCCTTTGTGTTCCCTTCGAATATGCAAAACAAGGGAGAAGTTAGCAAAATACTGGCAACAAATTATGAGTTGAAGAGTTTCCTTTGAAAATGTATTCAAATCAAATGTGACCCCCCACAAAGAAGTAAATCTTTTCTAGATGTTACTGAGACTCAAAAATAAAAACAATGACAAGGAAGAGGAAAGGGCTTCCTGTTTCCGGAACGTGGCGGACCTTGGCCGAGCTGGGCTGGTTCTCAGGATGAGCCCGCAGCTTCCCTCCGCAAGAGGAGCCCCCCACCGTCTGCAGGAGAAGTGTTCTCAGGGACCCCGTTCTGATCTGAGGGCGTGCTCCCATTCCTCCGGCAACCGGAGCTTGGGGGGAAGCGCACGTCCTATGTCTTCAAAAACAGGGGTGCCATTTCAAGCATCTCATACCCCCAAAGTAGTACTGTAAGCCTATGCATTTTCCCAAAGCACCCATCTTCAACGTTTGCTAGAAAAGTTTGCGGCTCTGGGTGTTTGCATTTGTAAACCTCTTCTCTCCTTGGTCACACGAGAAGAACCGGTCCACCGCAGGATGCCGGACAGGTCCTCTTGCGGTGTCCTCCGGCGGGGGCCGCCCACAGAAAACTGGTCGCAGCAGCCCCGTGACCTTTCAATCAAGGTGGCTTCGTGAGCCCGCAAGACTGGACGCTGTGGCTGCGCAATCGGGGCTGCAACTCCCTCAAAATACAAGACCAGTTGGGTGTGTGCTTTCTGCCACCTTATCTCTTTTTGGCTATGAGCCACGGCGTGACCCCCTTGAGACGACAAAAGAAATGCAGTTCAGATGGGATCAAAGGGCTCATCGGGCTGCATGCTAGCCCGTGACACTGAACACCAAGCATGCTGGTCACACAGCCATGCTGTTTAGTCCATCTCAGGGGGCGGTGTGGGCGTGAATCGACACTGATGGCGAAGGGGGTAGGCTGGGCATTTTCGTAGCTCTGAGTTCGTATTTGGTCACAATTTCATGTAAACGATTTCATGGCACTTTCTGTCCATGCAAGTAGCAAGCCCGAAGTAAAAACAAAAAAACCCCACCGAACCCCAATTACTCTCTATCACTGAGATGTCCATACAAATACCAATATCTTCATGTAAGATAAAAAGCTCTATTTTTTTGTTTATTACAGTTTTTGCAGGCATCTCACTGGTTTTATATCCTGCCCAATTTCTGAAGTAACTGAAGAAATGATGGACAAGGGACTACTGTGAGCAGGAAGAAGCAGCTCTATGTAAACATATCTCAGACGTGTCAAATCTGCCATTCAGTTTTCAACTATAAATATAAAAGGTGGACCGTTATATACACAACTTCATGCTTGGAAGGTTAGAGACATCACTGCAGAAAACAAACAAACAAACAACAACAAAAAAGACAAATACATAGTATTAGTAATCCAGGATGAAGATTCCAAATGAACACTTATTTTAAGAAAATGAGTAGAGACTTGAACACCATATTTTAGTCATCAGCCAAATGATCCCCCAATATGTGTCCCATATAGTACTGTTAGAACCTCCGGGATGTCATGAACATTTTCATCCTAGGTTCAGCCCCCACTTTTGTTTGGCCACTGATAAGTCTGGGGTGTTTGTCTCAGGAACTTCTGGGAAAGCAGAAAATTCAGATTTTTTAAAATCACAAAACAATGGTCCCTGGATGGCATGCAAGCGCTCAAGCGAAAGGCTTGTGGACTGGACCCGCCTGGAGTAACCTTAAGCAGCCCCGCTAGGGCAGTGCTTCCAGTC